AAATGTTAACAAACTTGGTATGATCACTATTGACAAACAATCCGTTGCCAATAGTGAGCTTACTACGTTTATTAACATTTAGACAACGGATGTGTATAAAATTTAGATTTCGACAACGAATTGTTGCAATGTTGAGTTGTCAACATTACATAGTGTTTTCGTACGTATGTTTATACTTCGACAACGAATGTTATTGAAAAATTATAAACTCTTTGGTGTCAATTTGGTAACAGGCGTGTATATTTCCTTTTCCCTCTATGTACCAACTGTATATAATATAATCAATTAGACATACATACATATGTATATATAAAATATGTTCTTTACATATTTCTATATCCTTAGGGTTTAGAATTTCATTACATGTCAAATGTAATTATTTCTTGTCAAAGTAAAAAATAATTTTTTATGTACTACAAAAACTATGATTGATTGTATTTAAATTTATACAATAATATTTGTAATATATTTTCATTTTATTAACTTTTAAATTAAATTTTATACTATTAAATTTCAAATTCAAAATTTTATTTGTGCTCATACATACATATGTTTTAATTGCTTATGTACCATACATAAAATAATATAATTTAATTATTTAAATATAGTAAAGTATTTTGATTAAATGAATAACAATTCGAGCTTTCGTAAAATTTTGTTTATCTAGTTTCAAAATTTACGTTTTGGGTATCAATTCTCCAAATAGTTATAAAGATAAGCAACACTTTTCAAATATGATGATATTCAGCAGAAAAAAATTTATGTAAACATAAATTCTATGCGGATCGGTCTATATTTGCTACTAGCTCACATGTAAATCTTCATTCAGGAAACTTGGTTAGGCTAGGTTGATAGGAGGATGTATCTACATCAAATTCGAAGAAATACACCTAGGCCACTATCGGGCCTGTTGTATTCTGATTTCCATGAAATATAGTATTCACTGAATGTTCATAAACTCAGTTATCTGGATGTATTTCCTAAGAATTTTTCTATCAGTGTTCGTGTAAGATGATATATCCGGAATAATATCACTCCGAAGATATTTGGATCTAATTTCGGCGAAAGCCTGACAATGAGAAAGTACTCCAGAGTTTCACTGTCCTCTCCACATGTTCTACATTCGTCTGAATCTACACGTCCAACACTCAGAATACTTACCTTAGACTTGCTTAAGTTAAGGTAGCTTCTCATCCTGCTCTTGTTAGGGTCACACTATATAATCTTTGTGGTTCTACTCACAGTTTCATTATTCCAAGAGGCCTTATCGCATTTCATTGCTGACTTCTCCCAAGTGGCCTGGTACCTTATCTCTGGGAGAGTATTCGGTTAGAGCTTTCATACAATTCAATACGGTCTTAGATTTAGCTTTATCATCTGTTATCTCCCTAATTGCCTTTTGGATATTGGTAAACAATTTACGCATTCCGTTAATGCTTCTGCCTGGAAGCTAGTATTGTGATTAAATAAACAGTGGTATATCTGTTTCTGGATCTTTATATAGAACCCCATTTCCAATTTTTCCCCAATTTAGAGCAATGCTTGTAAAAACGGATTCCTACGAGTATTTGATCTAATGTTCCACGACATTCTATTTGTGATCAGTGTTTCTGTGTCTGGTATGCGATCGGACACGTCCGATGGTTGTGTAAAGCCTTCCAATGTGTCCAATGTACATTAATGACGTTCGCCTAAAGAAAAACTAGGTTTTCATAAAAGTATTGTTTGGTATGTTTCGTCTATCCGATTGTTTAACGCCTATATAAATATTTATTTTTATTTTTTTTTTAAGACGATTTCGTTTGTGCGGAATCAAATTTTACTGCCTGTTTCACAATATCGAAACTACATTTTCTTATAAATATATTGAAAACAAAAACAAGTAAGTATGATACCCTACACCAGTTATGAATATTAAATGTGATTTATTTTTCACAATAAAGCATTTATCTTAAATATTACCTTGATTCCGATTTATTTAAGCAATTTATTGATGAAAAACTTATTTCCTAAAAGAGGCTTTATATGGGGGAATAGGAGCAAATGTGAACCGATCCTGATAAAATGGGCTGGATAGATTTGTATTCATATATATTTTTTGTCTGTGCTGAATTTCATTCCAATAATAGTGTTAATAAATGAATTGTGGATATTCAAGTCACTTTCTGAAGGGGGCTTTGTATGGGGGCTAGGGTCAAACGAAGTCCGATCATTTCGAAATTCTACAAGGTCATCAAGGCTTGTATAAAACTTAGTTGCGCGAACTTTCATCGAGATACATTTATATTATACATAATTATGAGCTCAAAAGCTCTTTTCGAGGGGTTCAGTTTTATGGGGGCTAGGTGAAATAATGAACCGATTTTAACCATTTTCGTCCTTGGGTCAAGTGTATTACAAATTTCATGAAATTATCTTGAAAATTGCGAACTGTACTTTGATAACAGCGTTTACATGGACACAGGGACGGTCGGACGGTCTGACGGACGGACATAGTTAAATCGACTCAGAACGTGACTCTGAATCAATCGGTTAACTTTAAGGTGAGTATAGTACTAATATTAGAATGCGTTACAAACATCAGCACAAACGCATAATACCCTTCCAACTATAGTGGTGTAGGATATAATAACATTTTAAATTTATTTGCTGTTTTCAATATATTTGTAAGAAAGAAAATGTTCTTTGACATTTAGAGAAACTGGCAGTTAAATTCATGTCAACAAAAATAAATAATTAAATTGGTTTTTTAACAAAAAATTTATTTTGCAAAAGATATTATCGAATTGCTAGAGAAAACATATATGTATGTTTTTAATTTTTGTGTTAAAAAAAATTTATTTAACCCTTATCCTGTATTTAAGGAGTAAAACAAATATGCCATTAGTGGGTCAATGTTGTCTAATATGAAAAATTTATATATTTAAAATTTTTTTATACATTTTATAACTATTTCACGCATGAAAAAGAATTGTCACAAAAAATTTGTTAACATTTTTCGTTTCGAAAGTGAGACCTTTTTTAAATTTAATTTCTTTTTAGATTTTTATCTAGGTGAGTCAAATAAGATCTACAGATTGACAGCTTTCATTTTATACCAAAATTAGATTAGCATCCAACACATATAAATATTTAAAATATTCATTTGAAATTGTAAGTCCTTTATAAGGAAGTCCTTTTATAAGGAAATAAGTGGACATTTCACATATACTTATATCAACCTTTCTATGTGTGAAAGCTTTTTTTCAAAATTGTTACAGGGTTTTTTAACCAATTCTCTTTTATACAAATATTTTGAGACATTTAACTGACTAATTAAAAGCAGCTATATGATATCTAAATTCATACCTATCTCTATAACTTATTATTGGGAAATTTTGACCCATTATTATAGGCTAAGGGTTAAGAATGATTTAAAAAATATTTTTAACTTTGAGAAAAAAAGATTAAGAACTTTTTGTTGGCGCAATGATGATATTTACATATGTATTTTAAATTTTGAACAACTTTTTAAATTATAATTTAAACATGGAAATATTTCATAGCTGTAAAACACAATGTAGAATTTACATAAAAAATATTTAAATAAATATTTATTTGAATTTCATAAAAAATATCACAAATAAAACAGATAAAAAAATAACAACAATTTACAAAAAACTTTAAGTAAAACAAACGTAATCGAAGATACCCTATAACAAAACAAAAACTGTTGGGGCTTAGTAATTATAATAAAAAATAAGCATATAAATAAATAGTGAATGATTGTCTTGACACTAAAAAAATTTACACTAAAATAGTAAATGATTGACAATAAATGATACTTTACATGAAAAAAAATTATGTCTGTTATATGATGTCAACCTTTTTAGAGCAAAAAAAAAAATATTGGAAATATAATTTTCTTCTAATATTTATAGGGTGTATTAAAACTCCCAACATACTGAATAGTTTTCCTCAATAATAAACTAACTATTGCTAAAAACAACAATTTTATTTTTCTGTTGCATAAATTTAACTTTTGTTTTTTCCCTTTGTATTTATTTATCTTTTTGTTTGATTTAATGCAACAATACGATTATTGCTGCATAATAAAATAAAAAAAATTATACAAATAATTGCACAATGTGTGTACACAAAAAGATATATTTATGTTTTATATAGACTTATGAATGTAAATAATAAATATTAATGAAATAACTATAGAAAATGTAACTACTATTGTTAAAAATTTGTATCAAAAACAAAAGTAGAAAAACCTACAAAAATAATTTGTTTTGTCGGTATTAAATTTTTACACAAATTTAACATTAGACTTTTATCATGGTAATAAAAAAAAAATTTTTGAATAAATACTAAATAATTGTTATGCTAAGAGTATAAAAAAATAGAAAGTTTTTATAATAAAATATAGAAATTTAGGTTAAATAAGCTAGTACAGAGAAAGGGTCGTTATAGAAGTGCCATGATTAATAATGATTCCATTCTTATCAAACTAAGTATGTACTTTTTATATACTTTAGACTTTTGTGAATTTTCACAACGTGATACATATTAACTTTCATAACTTTTCCAAAAATGTTTACACATCAATTTGTCTATCACTTCTTTTTTTTTAAACAAATGATTAATGTTTTCTTAAAAAATAAAACTTTTAAGTAACCAAAATCCTGAAAAATATAAATGAACCTGTTTAAGAAAAACTTCTACAAAAAGTAATTTGTAAATAAATAATGAATTATAGAACTTAATTACACAAAACTACTTATCTTACTAAGGTTGGGTAATACTTTAAAACTGTTTGTGAAAAAATGTTTAAACCCAAATAAAGAAATAAATTTCTAAACTTTATATGGCAGTATTTACAGAAATATGTTTATTTATTTAAAAACAAACAAATGAGCAAAAGCTTTAAAAAAACAACTTAAAAAGTCAACTAAAATTATTTTAAAGTTAAAATAATATAAATTAATGTTTTTGATATTTTTTTTCAATTTCAGTATCTGCCTCGACAAGTATGATGAGTAAACATGAGCCCATGTTTATATCCCGCTCAGAAACATTTAAATTTGTAGCTGGTGATACGATTGTCTTGCCCTGTGAAGTTGCCAATACCGGTGAGTAAAGCTAATTTTAAGTTTAACACGAAATCTTTTCGACCATTAAATAAATGCCAGACATTTAAAACTATTTTCAACTATTATTAAACATTTCAGTTATACAAAATATTTTTAAAAAAGAGATTTATAAGAATTTTAATGTGAAGTTTGAGTGATTACAGATTTTCAATAATTTCGCTATAAGGCCTCTAGTTTTCGAAATAAACGCAATTTTATGTTTCATACATAAAAAAATTTATTTTAATTTAAGCGATCATAGATTTTCACTGTTTTCGCGGTAGGGCCTTAAGTTTTCGAGGAAAACGCAATTTTATGTTTTTGTACAGAAAAAAAATCGATTTTAATTGGAAATTTTCTGTAATTTTATGTTTCTATAAAAAAAATTGATATTAAAACGAATTTCGAGTGATAGCAGAATTTCACTGTTTTCATTGTTGGGCCTCTCTTTTTTGAAACGCAATTTTATGTTTTCATACAAACAATCTTCGAGGAAAATTTGAGAGATCGCAAACTTTCACTTTTATAGCAGTATCAAAATCAAATTTTGATGGTTAACTTGAGTGAACTCCGATTTCCACTGTTCTCGCTGCTGCGCCTCTTGTTTTCGAGGAAGAGATCTCTAATTTTAGAAAAAGAAGAGATTTGACATCTTTATTTCATGGTAGAAAGAAGATTGTGTCAACCTTTCACCATGCTCAGCTTTGCCCACTAGTTGCCCACCAAGTTCAATTAATTTATTGGGTATTTTTCTACCCATTCGGCCTTAATGGGTTAAACTTTGTCTACTTATTTATTTAGTCTGTCCATTCGTCATTCAGTCTGTTGATGAACTTTGGAAAAAAAAGTTTTTTTTTTTTTGTTTTTCTTCAATGTTAAGCTTTTGCAGGTTCATAGGGGATAGAAAGACAATAATTTCAATTGATGGTTACTACTTGCATTAGTATATGTGTATGTAGTTTTATGCATGTACTTAGAAACAATTTCATTGTCTTGAGATTACTTAATAAGCTCTGAGCAAACTCTATTGATTTGGTTTGCCAACTTAAGTTTAAGTTGTTGAAAAGTAATGTATGTTTTATTTATTTTTATTATATTCTATGAAAAATAGTATTATATATTTATATTAAGTATATGAAAGGACGAAGGGTAGTATCAATTTATCACGGAAACAAGTAAGAGTGTTATCTGTGTTGTAGTAATTTTCTGAAAGGGACAATATAGTTCCAATAAAACTTATTCATGTCGAATTTCATGACTATACGTGTACTTTAAGCCCGTTTTTGAGATTAAAAATTATTTTCTGAAGAGGACCGTATGTGGGGGGTAGGGCCAATTTTTGACCGTTCCTTATATAATTTGAGAGAGATTTTAGTTATGAGCGTTAAAGTCATTTTCTGTTGCGTTGCTGATATGGGGGGTTAGGGTCATGTATAGTCCGATCAGTACAAAATTAAGCGATAACATTTTAGTTCCAATAAACTTATTTATGTATAGTTTCGTTGCCAAACTGGCATTTTGAAGCAAGTTACGATCGTTATAGTCATTTTCTGAAGGGGACCTTATATGAGTAGGGTAGGATTAATTATAGACAGAGAGATTTTAGTTCCGATTAAACTTGTTTATGTCGAATTTGGCTGCTTTACTGGTAGTTTGAAGCATATTATGAACGTTAAAGTAATTTTATGATGGTGCGTTATATGGGGGGTAGGGTGAATTATGTTCTTATCCTTACAAAATTAAGAGACAACATTTTTGTTCCCATAAAACCAGTTTAGGTAGAGTGTTGACTAGAAAATGTATACACGTTAGGGTGTCCCGTGGACATCTTAAATGGAGGAATACGATGCAAACTAGTCTGTAGATAAGAAAGTTGTTAAATAATTAAAATTTACGTATGTATCTAACTATTTTTTTAATATATTTTCTCTAAAAATTTTGCTTCTACAGCATAATTTTTAGTACTACACAGCGTATGAGTAATAAATAACTTGTTTCCATTAGATATTTTCATACGCAATAACTTTATTAAAAAAGCAAAGCATATTTTTATAAGATAAATAATATATTTTAATATTTTTTATATAATAAATTAAAAATTAAAGATAGCAAAATAAAAATAACGTTTCTTTAAAAACTTTATTTAAAAAAATTATTCAAAATTAAACAAATTTAGTAGGAAATACAATAATAAATAACTACAGTATAAATAATTATATAGATTATGTAAAAAAATAATATTTATATTTGTATCTAATATTATATAGGTATCTTTCAGTGCATAGTTTCCTTTGGTTTAATGACTAGGTACTGATTTGAAATACATGTTAACTTATCCCTTTGGTAAAGTTACCTACTAAATATTTTAAACTATAGGTATCTATTTGTTGAAATTATGGGCATTAGACCTATGTATTTATATCCCAGGAATTTAAGCCAAAATAACTTAAAAAACATCTCTATAGATAACAAACAACTTTTCAAAATATTATCGACTAATTTGTATATCTTTAGACTAAACAACTTTAATACTCTCTATAATACTTTTATAGCACTATTCGAACAGAAAATATCCCCTTAATCCTGGACATAAAATAATTTAAACATTGATTTAAAAACTTTTTAACATAGTTTACATGGTATTTGTTCCACTTTATTGTTTATTTTAAAAATCTACATAAAAATTAAATACATAGTATATAATCCTATAAATGTTTATTTCACAGTTACTGTTGATTTTAATGTGCTTTGAGTTAATACCTTAAAAAAAAGGAAATTATTTAAATTAAAACGAGATTTTACTTTATATAGATATTGAAATAACGATCACGAGTTTTAATCTTTCCCACTCTTAGACTTCAGGGCGGTTTATGTTGTAACATTTTCGTTGAATTTTTATGAAGCACACGTATCTAATAACTTTTTTTTATTTGCATTTGATTTTATTTGAATAAAAGTAACGAACAGCAGCCAATAAGTATGCAGTGCGTAAATATTTACTTGTAGTAAAAGTTTTTATAAGATTTTTTTCTTATTACTTAAGAAGGGGGTGGTAAACTATATAAAAAAATATATAACTTTAGTTAGTGGCTGTTTTGGAAGTTTTGATGGAAACATTTTCTTTTATAAATTTCAGCAAGTATTTGATTGTAGAAAATTGTATTTATTTATATTTTTCATATAGTATGTTTTCGATAAGTTTTTATTGCGTGTGGAAAGAGAATTGAATTTGGTAAAGTTAAGATTTCGATGAACATCAATTGTGCATTTAGTTTTGTTTGGTTGCATAGTCTAAAATTAATAATATTATAAAAATTTTTCAAATCTATATTTTGTAATGTGAACATCTAATAATTACTTTCTAAATAACAAAAAGTTATTAAAACCTTTTATAAAATTAAATACAGTTTCTAAATATGAGCGTTATTATATATTAAAAAGATTACACTAAATTTAAACCCCTCGAATTAAACCCTGTTTATTACAAATTTGGTTGGCGATAAGCAATCAAGTCAAAAATAAAAATTTTATCGCAAAATATAATATAACACAGAAAATAAATATAACAAATACTTTGTTTTAACAGCCTTCAATATTTTTTTTATTAAAAGTAAAATTTTGTCATTAACACTTAAATAGAATTACAAAGTTATAGGCACATAAAAACTTATACTTTCATATTAAATTTAAAAATAAATTTAAAATGTTCTTATATGAATAATATTCAGTAAAATAATGTTGGCCTTTTCAGAATATTTTCCTCGTCTCCACTTTGTTTGGCTCAAACAGTCAATATTCACTGTGATTTTTTTTAAAATTCTTTCAATTATGTTTTTACAGTTTATGACGGGCATAAAATATTTTATAGTTTTTTTTTTGGTTGGAGTTTTAAGAGGTTATTTGAAAAGAGGAAACGTTTACTTGCCCCTTAAAGTAGACTTATAAAAAAGACTGGTTTTATTTACTGACATTATTGTCA